TAGAGACACTGAGCGATATGGCTGGGTGTCGTAAACAGTGGCGTTCGTGCATCCTCTGAATCTCTTTGCAACCTTAGACCACTGAACTTCTCCATTTTTTTCGACTCTACTTTCAAGTTTCCTTTCTTCTCCTATTCTTCATCCCAATGGGTAGCCGAAAGACAGCAACGAAAACCAGCGCACGAATATGCGTGGTTAATGGTTGTTCAAACCGAAAAACTAAAACCTACAAACATGCGAAAGTTTCACTGCAAAATTACTCTCGGACAGTCAGCTCCCATTGCACAAGGAATTTTCAAAAGCTGTCCACATCATCCACACGCTCAAGATTTAGCCTCTTATTTTCAAGTTCATCTTATCATATTTCTGTTTTTCCATATCTACCACGTCTACTTATTGACGAGGGGAAAACATCCACAGAATTGTGCCACTGTCTGCCTCATTGACAAAAACAATCTACTGCTTTCGGTTTAATTATGTAGGATTTTGTAAACCTGAATCCACAAATATGGTGCAAATGCTGAAAAAACATCACCCAAATGGATGCATAAAGCTAATACTGACTTGACTTGGTTTTGCCCTGATGATTGAGTGCTGTCGAGAAGCCAAATTAACTGTTCCGATCATTTGTTTTCTACACTACAGAATGTGAGATCTCATTGCAATTGTGCAGTGTAACCTGTTTTGGGAAACCTACATTTTATTGTGCGTTTTCGCACAAAACACGGAGGTTTTAATATGGCAAACACAAATCTTCTGAACGATCTCATTCTGATATTTACAGAACCACACGAGTAACAAACAAGTTCAATAACTTCGTCTGCTTGATACATACATATTTTATCAACATCTATGTGTAGCGAATAATTTCAGCGTCAATGCGTTTTGATCGGACGGACGGGTTGGCAGAAATAGTTTGTCAAAACCCTCCCGGTTCCGCGTCCCGGGTCCGGCACGGAAAACAAGATCATCCGTGACGACGTACATGACTTGTTGACCTACAGTCGAGGTTTTCCACATCATTTAGCCTATTCCCTACCTGTCAATATCCCTTTATTTTGTAAATCATACTATTGGTGCGCAACGTTTGGTAAAAGTGTTCCACAAACGATTGCTGCATCATCCATCAGCGTTTTATTATTCTATCATTACTCCCATCGATTGCATTCTGTCTAAGTGCAAATTGGATTTGTAATGCAAAAGCGTGTGGGAAAACATGAAAACAGAAGTCACTTCATTTTGTTGAGAGGTAACTGAGAATTCGAAGCAACATTAGTCAATGGTACAGAATCAGTATTGTGCATGCTGATATTTTTTATCGGCCAGTTTTGTTTTTTTCCCAAGAATATACAAAACCTGTTATCCAATTGACCTTCCCGGGGAGTGTGTATAGAGGATGGAGGTGATTTATTGCATGGTCACTGAGCACCAAGTTGATGAAGTGCGGAGGACAATAATTCTATGGTCAATCTTTGATATTAGGCATAGGCGGTCGTTGTCCAAGCTCGTTCGATGAATCTCCAAGACTGCTGGTATTCGTGAATTGACTGTAGACCGAGTGCGCCTGAGTGAGAAGAGGTTGTTGACTCATTGGAGTCATACTGGAGCACAGAAAAACTGTTGTCGGACCAAGAAGAGAGTGGTGAGCCAGGGCGGGGCTGCAACACGGAGTTAGATGACCAGCACCTGCGGGAACAGCCATGCTATCCATTGGTCGGTGATACATGGGACCCATTGGGATACTTGTTTCACTGCAACGCCCGTATTTATGTCCAGTCTCATCTAGATCTGCGTTTTTACGTAACCAGGGCAATCTGAGTTTACAACAGGTTTCCGTGTGATCATCCATGCTGACGTAGTTTATACAAAGACTGGGAAGAGCAGCTGACGCAATAGCCAAGAATGCACCGAACAAGGTTGTCAGATAGGCCCAACCGATATTGCAGCGACCTTGTTGTTTGGGAATAAGAAAACACACAGTGGGAGAATTGAGAGGATAAACTATGTTAAAAACAATGCTTCGCTCGTAGATGATATAATATATATATTTGTATGCATTTATAAAAACAATTTTGTGACAGGTTGCAATGCTTATACTGGAGAATCCAATCTGGCTCTGATTGAAGGACAAAATTGTAATCATTATTTATTCATAGTGAGATTTTCAATTTAAGATAGAGAGGCATGGTTGTAGAAGCTCTCGCAGGGGAGAAAATAGCTACTTTGGTAAGCAAACTTGAAAATGGAACGTTACAAAACACTGTAACGCAATTTACTTCCGGATATATTTCACTGTCTGATTGCAGGGATTCGAGTGAACTACCGCATTCGAAACACGAGACCTGGGACGGGAGGAGAGGAGGAATGATAGGCATCAAATAAAACTAAAGAGGCGAGGTTTGAATTTCTGTACTTGATTAAAATGCTAAATATGGGGGTAACAAAACAATGAGGAAAAGTAAAAATTCTGACATTTTGGACCGAACTCCTGTTTTCAAAAATCCACATTCAAGAAATAGGTCAACACAAAAAACGATCCAACTGAAAGCATTACGATATCTAGACTGTAATTTGCAAATTTTGCTAGATATTGAAACTCCAGCAGCCCATGGAATGGAAAGATACGCGAAGCAGAACTTGATAATACAATTGTTTTGTGCCTCATTTCGTTGAGGAATAAAACCCCGCCGGTATTACGCAGCTTTTAGTTTTTTTAGCGAAATTGTTGTCTTTTTGTGAGTCTGTTTTCCTTTGTCAGTTCACAAAATGCCAAGAACGCTATGGAGAACTAAGCTTTCTGATTCGATGAAAGTACTATTACTACTATTACTATTACTAATACCAGTATTACTACCACTATTACTACTATGAAAACTTTTACGACACTCCACGGAGTGATGTGTAGGGGGGTCATAGAAAAAGCTCTATATGTATTTGATAATTTTACGGAATATTCAGCAATCTGATGGTACAGTCAAGGGAAATTACCGGTTAGCTACCTATTTAGATGTAAATGTATGAGAAGAATCATACGATGGTGTTGACCGTTGCGTGCAATAGAAGCGCTCGCTATAAATGGACGAGGATTTTGCATCTGAACGTAGATACAGAGCAGAAAATTGAACAGATTCCATCACGCAGGGTTTCGAAAAACCATCTCAGTCGTACGTGAAGTCAGATTCACTAACGTTATTCGTTCAGCCCAATTGGGAAATTTTAAAAAGTTTAAAAAATCAACGCACTGCTGAATGTGTCCGTTCCGTTAACAAATTTCATGTTGGGCTTACTGAGTATGAAGTATACACAAACTACACTTGGTTATAAATGTATATTGTTGTACGCAGTTCCGTCCCAGAGCGTTTTGCCACAGACGACGTAAGGAAGAACACATTTAATCCTCAGAGGGATGCGCTTTAGACCAGTAGGTGTTTCTTACACACGGTACCGATCGATCGATCGGTCGATAGTTTATTACGTTTTCGAATAACAAACATTCATTTGTATTGCGTCAAAGACAGTTGGACAAAATGTGAACCGAGGGTGATGTTTTGTTCCTATATACGATGAACCAAAGGAGGTAACTCCCTTCCACAATTCACCAGTCACAAAACCAGCACAACTAGGGTTCTGTTTTTCCCAAGTTAATCTTTGTATACCCGTTGCCTCTTTCCCGAAACTTATGGTACATTTACATACTTAATCATTAAGTAGGGAAATAAAAACCACCTTATGCTATGTCCAAAATGTTCATATAACATCCATTCAGATCTTATTCGCCCATTACATTATGCTGTTCTCATTCATCCAAAAAATCATCATCATGTCTCATTACAGCTTGCCTAAATCCTTACAAAAATTCATTTATTCTCATATGGTATGTATTTCGATTACCGGACAGTTAGTTGAATGCGTTTTGTTAAAAATCTTAGAACAGGACTAGGCTCATATACTTTCAATTAGCTAATGCACAGATTCATTTGCATTTTGAGCCGAATAATGAGCAATGGTTCGTACATATACAGGTATTGACCAAACTCGTGCAATATCCTGATGGTCATCACATTTGTTTCTCTCAATGCTTCGTTTTTCGAGCATCATTCACAAGATTGAATATATTAATGCCCCACACCAGACGCAGAATATGTAATATAATACCCACTTATGTCTTTACTCTTATTAGCCACATACCATTGCAGTGTGTGATTTCATGTTTTCGACGATGGTTGCTGGTGAACCAGTTTTAAAACAGCAAAGTCATGGAAGAAAACATAACTCGAATTTATTTATTAAAATGACTTAGACTTCGTACAGGTATTGTACTTTCATCTCGTCCATGTTCCATTTCCCTTCATTTTTTTGATTTTACTTCCTTTTATTGAATATACGAAGTTACAATTTTTAGGAAGGGGGAAGCGGCCAATCAGAGGGCTACCATACAACACACAAATGGGGAAAGTCAGGCGGTGGTGGTGGGATTCGAACACTCGTCCCCCGGGGTGATAATTGGTGACGTTACCACCGGGACACCACCGCCCGAGTACTGGAGGCAGTCGCTTTGGCATGGAATCCACCAAGTTGACTGCCAAACGGAGTTTGCCAGATTCCTCTAGGAATGTTATCGCAACTATCAAGGTCGCGCAAAACAAAACGGTGATTGCAGAGAAGTAAGAAGATAGAAGTGAGAGACGAAGTTAGGAATAAATACACTCCACCGATAGCCATCAAAATAAGAGTGTGATATTGGAAACTGAAATGTATTTCCAAAAAGAAAGTGATGTTGCACGAGTTCGATCAACGCTTGTATATAATTGTATACATACACTATCCATCGTAACAAAGATATTTTTCATTTAAGGATCAGAATGTTTGTTAGGTCTCACCAGGTCACTGTTGCACCAAATCTCAAAGGGACCAACTTGAATCCCGCCCAATTACACAATATCCCCATTTGCTTATTGATGAAATTACTACAGGTCAATATGTTTGTTGTGATTCGTAAATTCAAGTGGTAGGTCAAATTGAGCCATGCATTAAATCTTTCATAGTACGCGATACGTGAGCATTTAATTCCATATGTTCGCTCTGCTTTAGACAACAGTATCCTGTTATCGGGACCACCTGTGCGTGTGTCCGGCCCAAGACTA